AGCCGCGCTGCGGGTGGGACTCGCCGTCTGTCCCCGCTCCTCTCCCGCCCGCCCCGCGGCAGAGCCTAAGGCACGGAAGGGTACGGCGGGGGGGCCCCCCCACGCCCCGGGGGCAAGCGGACTCTAAAGTTCCTCCCAAAGTCGTCAGCGTCCAAGTCTGAAAGGGCAGTATTTTAATGTCACGTTGAACAAGCACCCTCTTGCCACGTTCAAAACATTAGTGACTTGTTGAGCTCCTTGACTACTCGAATTTCCGTGAATAAGGGCAGGCAGACAAGACAAGAGTGCTGTCCGCTATACTCAAGCTCAGGGCAGTCTTCCACCTACACGAAATTCCAAAATGTATAAGCCACTGCGAGGACACGAGTTGCCTCGCTTGGTAATGAAGAGCATAGTCTGGGAGAGTCTTCTTCCTAGCCTCAATGCCATCTAGGGTAGAAGCAAAGTGCATCACTCAGCTCTTCTGGTGTTGCGGGTTTTTTCCTTAGTTTCTTTTTTTATGTTTGTTCGGTTTTGTGATAGAGGTTTGGAGAGGTTTTGTGTGTTAATAAGTAAGCATATATTTCCTATGAATCCAAGATTACTACCACTCCAAAATTTAGCCTGAAAAGTCACAGCATATAATTTCTACAGCATTTACTTCAAAGTACTATTTTAACTAGGGTACCAGAACTTATCAAAAGATGGGTAGGATGTATGCAATTCACAGGGATAAAGATCTTCACACCTACAGTTCCACACTATCATAAAGGGTATTATACTATGAGGATTCATCAACTGTGAACTTCTGGAATACTCATACACAGGAAACAAAGACAGGAAATGAAGGAGCAAAAGATACTGACAAAAGAACAGTGTGTGTCCTCTGTATGCAGATGAAGGAAGTAAATCCTTAAATGCTCCGGAGAGAGAACAAATAAAGCACGTGATGTAACAGACCTAAGTGCATATAAAAGCAACTAGTGCGTGGAACTTTTGGACCTCAGTTCTTGGACCCATTCTCTCCTGGAGATCTAATTGTTAACCGATGAGTATGAACTTCATTATTTACCATATCACATAAATAGATTTTAAAAAATCTGAATAACCAGTACCATTCTATGTAAAGATTGCAGTGAAGGCGATTGTGCACCAGAACTTAAGGCTGATGGGCAAAACCAGCCTGGCCCTGCAACACTGACGAGTGGGATGAGGTCACCCCAGTGTCAGCTGAGGTCAGCAGCAGTCACTGGGGCTGGAGCAGTCATTTCCAGGATGACATCCATCACCACCTATGCACACGCTACTTCATCTTCAATGCAAACTGAAACTAAAGGGAACTAAAAATTCACTCAAGGGTCCCCCAGCACCCAAGGGCTGTGATGGGCAGAGCTGGAGGGGCTGTCACTACACCACGCAGCACTAGGGAACCCAAGAGGCAGCTGTGGGGCCAGGACGACCTGACCCCCTACCACCAGCAGGAAGGATACTTTGCTGGGGATTCATTGTTACTAATCAGTTTAAAGGTGTGGCTTGGCTGGCAGTTTGGCTGCAAAATCATGCAATCACCCTGTATACAGCTTCCCCAATAGATGTTGTCATGTTGTGCAACATACACAGATTTAACTGGAACGTACTGTATTGCAATTTGTCTCCTTAGCCTGAACCCTGAATACTGCAAAGACAGGGGTCTTCCCCTTCCTGACACCAGAGCTCACATCTTTTCAAAGCCATTCCTCCTTCTACTTGTGGATTAACAGAAAAAAAAAAAGCAATTCCAAAACAACTGGGGTTTAGAACACACTAATCTAAGTTTAGAATTGAGCACATCCATCAGTACAAAAAAAAATGCTCCTGCAATATCAGGATTTAACTTTGCTCCTGAATAACTGAATAGCTCTTAGTTGAAACAAGTAGAAATGAAAACCTCTTACTGAATCCAGGCAAAATATTAAGAGTATTTCACTTCAATCCAGTACCAGTTTAATTTAGAATGAACAGTTTGTCTAAATATGAAAACCAAAGAAGCTTTAAAGTCACTTCTGCAAATCTAATAACTAAATTTGGACATAAATTTGGACATAATAACTAAATTAGGATATGTTTTAGATTTTCAGATTTATTCAAGTGTAATGCTGAAATTTTCAGCCTTCTATAGCCAATTGCAAAAGACAAAAAATATTTTAGGCACCTTTAAAATGAATTTATTTCACAAACTTCACATACATTATCTTATCAAATTACATTATCAAATCTCTTATACATTAGCCATAAGTTCTCTTAGTAAAAAGTATTTAAGTATGAAAGTTTTAAAAAAAACCTTTAAAATACAGTTTTTTCATAAAATCCAACAAGCTTTAAAAAGACCTTACACATATTTGCATTAAGCTTTGCTCATAAGGCACATGTATAGACATTTCAAAGGAGCAGTTACTTACAACCCACCAAATCTTTACAATGTTTATAAAGCTCTGTCTTTGGAAAAGCATATAATTGATAATATACAAACATGAGTGGCACATTGCCAATTTTAGGCAGAACTGTAAATGAAATCTTTGTGCATACTACCCAGATCTCAGTGACTTCGCTCTGCCAAGGAATAAAAAGTTACAGGATGCAAGGTAGTTTTAACACTACTCTGCATGTAGTATTTAAATGTACTTCTTTGTTACCAAAATAGCCTGGATGTTCCAGGATAAACACAAATAACTGATCAAATTTATTTTAAAAACTGTTTCTAGTAAAAATTATTTAATCTCCCAGATGCAAAAGGCAAAGAAAATATTAAGTTGTTACTGGGTATTTCAGGAGTGGAAAAGTATAGTTTTCTGACCACAGTTTAAGGAGGAAAACAGTTGGCTTTTAAAGCAGACAGTGGTTCCTGGTCTTAATTTACCCTAGACAGGATGAGAAGCATTTAATCACAGCATCCCTTTAAAAAGAAAAAAAAAAGGTCAGTTAAGATAGTTGCTCTTTTCTTTATATAGAGCTTAACCATTACATATTTACAATTAAAAACATGACATAAACTAAAGAGAAATAGCCATCATTTATCCAATGCAGGATCAGTGTGTGAGTACCTCTACCGAAGCAGCTAAACCAAAGGCTCAAGCCCAATGTGAAACACTCTGGCCCATGCAGAAATGCAGGCGCAGTGTTCAGAGCTGCTCTGCAGCACACTCAGGGCCTTAGCAAAGGTCAGAATCTTATTTTGCAAAGGCTCAGCTGAGGAACGTGCCAAATCCAGACAGCCAGCAAGGCACAGGTGCTGTGAGTCCAAGCCACATGGGAGTTAGACCTTCATGTTGCACAGAAAAAAGCACAGGCTGAAGGGTTCAAGGTGCACATACTGACAGTGCAGGATGGAGAACTGGTTCAGCCTTAAGGTTTGAAAGATCTGAAGGGTCCTGTTTTTTCAATTGACAGTAAACTGTTTTCTGACTGTTATACTTAGATCCTTCACTTCAGTCTCCTTTACTTTTCATTTTCTCAGAAAAGCAATAACTTAATAAGGAGTGGAATTTGTATTCTGTTGTTAGTCAGTTTGAAAAATGAAGAAACATACTATCATGACTCCTGAAAGTCACTGTATGTATGATTTTTGGTTTTGTTGCATTTCTTGTTGTCTTCATTTGGGTTTGGTTTGGGGTTTTTTTTGTTTGTTTTTTTGCCATGCCAACAGGAGACCCAGGATTTAAAAAAACACAAACACAAACCAACAAACCCTCTCAACAAACCCATGAACAAGTAAATTGTTTTTAAGAGTAAACCATTAAGGGAGTTAAACCAAGGAATGATAATTTTTGTTGAAATCAAGAGAAATGCATACTTTAAACAAATGAGATAATACTGCTCTCTGGCACTTGACATGGTTTAGATCACTGTTTCCAGAAGAAAGGCAGCCTACACAAGAAATTTATGATAGCTTTTCACATAAGCAAATAACTCAATAATCCTTAAAGAATTGTATTACTAAGAGGAGTCTGTATAAAATTCAGTTCTTTGGCTCATAAAATCTAATAGATAAACAAAACCAAAGAAATTAACTGATGCATATAACCAACTGCTTTTCTGCCCAGGACTCAGAGCACTGTTGGCAGGAAAGAAAGAAATCAGAAACTAGAAGCTAAACTTGCTTTCTGTACAGAGTAGAACATTAAAAAGGAGAAAAAAAAAAAGAGGAATAAGCCCTACTGAGACTGTCCCATGGCCACTGAAACTATAAGAATTCAGAATACTACTTTGATTGGGTTAGCCTGAGTTGTCATAAACAGTAAGATGACAATTCGAAGCCTGAGTTCAGGTAAAATATTCTATCCACTGTAATTATCAACTACTGTCTTAAAAAAAAAATCCTTCCTAGATGAAATCTGAAGCTTTAAAAAAAAAAAAATTCAGATTTTTTGGCAAAGTTACAGAAATGCTACAGGAAAATACCAGATGGAAGAGATGGACAATACTTTGTACTCCTTTTCCCCCACTTTTACTCCAGAAAACCTCATTAAATAACACACAGACATAGAAGTGCTTAATTATTTAAAAAACCACACTGTTTAAAGACCAAACTGCATTTTACATGAGTCACTACAGAAAACATAGGTTTTTACATTTGATTACTTGCATGTGTCTGGCTAGCTTTCATTCCCTTTTTGTACACACAAGAGTGAAAACAAAGAGAGAAGCTTGCCAGAAATGAAAATTAACACGAAGTGTTGCCTTTGCCTCTCCTAAAAATGATGGAGGACTTCAGAAATAGGCTTAGCAGATGAAAATATGTTGTTTGCTTGCTTTTACCTAAGACCTCAGATCCATAAGTTGCCTTTAATTTTAGTACTGCAAGAGTCACTGTTGAATCACTGTATTTTTAAATCACTGGAGAATTTAAACAAAATCTCTGTTTTCAGTGATGAAAACTAGAGAGAAATGTATCAAAGAGAATTACCATGCCTTTACTTGTATTTAAAGCTTGTATTAAGCATTACTTTTGAGTTCAACTATGTCATTTTCTGAGAATTAAAAGGAAAGGGAGAATGTTATGTTTTTTCACATATTTGATTTAAGTAGTTTTCCCCCCAACCCAGCATAAAAGTAACTGACTTTTGTTAAGATGGAAATTGTTATGCAGACTCACCTTGCAAAAGGAATATAAGATAGACTATACCTGAAAAAAAGAGGAAAAAAGTATATTTGCAGAGTGTTCATGTCTCTCCTAGAACCCAATTATTTCACTTTAGTCCAGCATTAATAAAAGCCACCTGTTATAACAAAACTTTAAACAAGATTCTCTATTCAATTTAATGCTTACCTGGGAAAAAGATGACATGTTTGGACAACAAGTAAACCCACTGACAAGGATTTGCTGGTTTACTTTTTCCTTGGATTTTTCATATTTCATGTGAAATATGAAAATACATTTCAAGTATTTCATAACTTCTATTGCACAAGCACTTAAAAAACCTTGCCAAATCCAAAAGGAATGGAGATTTCTGGGAAAACTGTACTCAGGATGATAGAGACAACTTTTTCCAGTTTAAAAGACAAATTACAAATATATATCTAACTATGTTATTTATGCAAGTCTAAATAGAGAGACATGGTGTAGTCTAAATAGAGATACATGGTGTAGTATAAATACTATGCCACAATCGTGACACTCAAGACAGCTAATAATTCTATTATCGTCTGAAATTTGCTTTTCACAAGCCTCCAGGTGGTGCTTTGTTCTCCTGCCCAGCCTGATCAAATTCTATGACACTTAACAAATGTGAGCTATCTGCTGAAAACGTTCAGAGCTCAGTCTGAGTTGGTGCTCTTTCCTCTATCTAGTATCAATACCTGCCTGGGCACAGCACAGTGCCCAACAGTACCTATCCTGAACAAATGGTTTCTTGTTATCAGACCCAAGTTCAGTAGAGGTTCTGTGTATTCAGGGCAAGTTCAAGCAGGAACTGTGGTCACCTTGGGCTGCCTGAGAGTTAGCACCAAGTAATAACCCACCTGGGACAAGGAGACCAAGTACAGATCTCTATGGAGAAAGCAGTAACTTCCAAAACTTCTGCCAGGCTCGCATTTACCTAACAGGTCTCACACACTGCCAAACCCAACCCCTGAGCGCATGTGGATGGTCACTGTAGTACCCACTGCACTAAATTTACTTTCTCACATCCACCCACTCTTTACCCAGTGCCACTGTGTATTTTCTGTGCTGGACAATCCCTATGAAAAAATGTTGTTTAGTTTCTTTCACTTCAAAAATGAAAAATTAGTTAGAACTCAAAAAAGAGTGAGATGAGCAGAACATATTAAGATACAGTTACTTTCACAACACAGGAAAGGCATGAGAATTTTGTTGCATATGTATTCCTTTCATAAGGCTTCCAATAAGTTCACACATTGCTGAATATATTTAAAATTATCATTTTTGCAAGAAGATTGAATATAGATTCTGTGGAAGTTACACAACCTAGCTTAGAAAAACAGACTGAGGCTAGCATTTGGGTACACTTATATATATAAAACATATATATATATATGTTTTGCATATATGTTTATAATCACGTAGGTGTAGGAAGAAGAAATTAAAAGGAATTTTAAGAATCTTACCAGGTCATTGCCAAGAACTGCAATATGCAGAATAACATCGCCAAACCTTTTTTTTTCCACTATGTAAAATAAAAGCAAATATTGCAAGTTAGTGCATTTTGCACCAGTTTATACTGTAAACAATTGGAAGTTTGTTCAACCAAAAATTTACTTAACTGATGATGCCTAAATTTCCTTGTCTTAATTTAATTTGCTACTTCTTTTCTCTCTAACAGCTCTCAATTTTATCCTTCACTCCATTAGCATCATGCTATAAAAACCTTTTCTAACTTCTGCAAATATGGAAGGTTATTCCAGCAACATATTTACTTGTATGGAATGTAACTACAGCCAGTTTTCATTCAAGATGCCTGAAGGTACTTGTTCTGCCTCTTTGTCTTAATCAGTTTAATGTTCTGTATCCATAGTTTCTAAAGACCACTACACATTCTCTGATATTCTCTGACATAAGTATACATCACTAAAATGAAATAACTTGCTTTTCCTAATTTTCATTCCAGAGGTCTGCAGACTGAACCTGATGCTCTAGATTTTGTATGCTCATCTACATCACATTCAGGTGGAAGGGTGCATTTGCTTTACAGCCAGCAGGCTCATCACTCCACCCACGCTCAACTGCAGCTGACAACAGAAAGAGCACACACACAAACTCATCTTTCCTCCACAAGTGAACTGTATCTTAAAACCACGATACAATTAATGAACTAACCAAGCTAGATTGCTCTTTAGAGGAACAAAGTATTCTCACTTACCCAGAATACAGCACACAGAGTCAATATTAGGCAAAGCTGGGGGGAGATGACAGGAGAGATAAAACAGAAGAATGAATACTCAAATACACAAGAAAGCAAACAGTAGCTGTTTTCATGTTTTCAGTGGGCAATCAGCATTTTCAGAATTGACTTATGAAACAAGCAGAGCCAAAGGCTGTCACACAGCTTTTTCAGTGCTTTTTCATCTTCTGACAATAATGAAGACCCCACTAGGGAGCAGCTGCCTCAAACACAACGCAAAAGCTCCCATGAAGCTATGTTCAAGGTACTTACACACTTCTGATGAAACATTACAACAGTATGGCTTACTATGCCCAACAATCACACCATTCCTGCAATCACTTTAAACTGTTCCACTAAATCTCATCTGGCTTCCTCCATTTGTCATTACACACAGCAGAAAACAGAACAAAATTCTAAATTAATTTTCACTGAAAATGATATGTTGGTGTTTTATTGAAATAATAACAGACTCTTGAAATTTTCCAAACCTGTTTGTGACTCCTGAACTGCCTACAATTCTAGCTTTGTGTTAGGATGGGGATTAAACCTGTCAAATACATCAAAATTTTTCTAAACTTAATAATTTTCCAATTCTTCTCTGTTTTACTGAAATTTTCATCCTAACAGTCTTAACTCTTATCCAATGTTCATGTTCACTACTTGATGAAACCTTTCTCTGTCTTTTCCCAACCTTATTGGTAGTTTCTCTGCACAGGTACGTAGGTCTGTGATGTTTTCTCTACTGTCTGTTCTCTTTCCATTTCTCTGATATGGCTTGTTTCTGCAGCCTTCAAAGCAAGTTATTTTCTTTGTCACCACATCTGAGCATGGTAGATGATAGGAACATCAGAGCAAAATGGTTTTTGTGCTGTCTGTTCTAAGTGTCTGGCTTGGGCTCTCAGTTTGATCAGAAAAAGCCCACAGCTGCAAAGCATTGGAGGATTCATGCTCAGCAAATACAGACTCTAGAGAACTGAAGATATTCTTGGATATTTTTACTGCAGACCTACGAAACATAACTTCCCTAAGGACTTGTAACTTGGTTGTAAAGATGGCAAAACAAAACAAAACACCCAAACAACCAAACCTCTTTAACAAAGCTCAGAGGCCAAGCAACGACCAAGTGACTTCCCCAAAAGACATGGGCAGACATGTGCCTCTCAAATGAGAGGATAACCTGCTTTTTTTATGTGGGTGTGTGACAGGAAGAATATGCAACCCATATGACAGCCACCCAGAAAGAATTTATGAAGATTTTCTTACCCACATCAGCTCTAATCAACTCGAAAAAAAAGTTATATGATAGGGAGAATAGGACAGCCACTACATTTCAAAAATAAAATTTGAAACAATCAGGAGGAACAAGACAGAAAATAAGTACAAACCAGAGGAGCAGAAAGGGCAGAAAGGTAATATAGAGCTCTGGGATAGGAATTCTGAGATTGGGGTTGGGGTTATTTTTTCCACCCTCCTGGAAGAAGAAATGATGGTCGTGTAAAGGAAAGGAGCTAGGGACCTCACAATGGAGAATCACAAAGCTGAACATGTGGCTTCCCAGACTTTGAGAAAATAAATTAATTTTCTCCACAGCTTTGAAAGCACTGAACCACTAACCTACACAGACCAAGCTGCAGACAGACTTGGTGACCACTGACTTTTCACAGTAGCTATTAAAAAAAAAAAAAAAAACTCTCTCACCTTGTTCTTGTAGAAAATATTTTAGAAAATAAATTAAAAATTATCAACCTACTATTAGCATTCAGTAAGAAATATTTAGCAAAGAACATTTTACTCCAAATGATTAACCGAAAAAAACATAAGCAACAAAAACAGTCATAGAAAGGAGCTAGATGATGTTTATGACACACAGAGCTAAACAGCTTGACTGTTATTTCTCAGTAGAGAGAAGAGGTGGACTGAGAAATAACCTCCCTTTAGAAAAGCCTCAAATTTAGCTTTGATGCTAAAAGAAAACAAGATAGCATATTTACCAGCATCACAATCGTAGCTATTAATCTTTTTTGCTCAAACATCGCTTTCAATTGCTTCAGGGGCCCCATCAGGAAACATGTACTAATAGGAGAGAAAAACCAAAACAAAGGGAAAACCACTTTCAAGTAACTCTTTGTAAAAGACAATAGGTAATTAACATGTTTTTCAACAGTCAGATGACTACAAAGGCTTTTAAAAAAAAAAGGTATTTCAGTGTTTAGCAACAAAGACTAGAACAGAAGGTAAAATACTCCATGAATTTAGCCCCACAAACAGTTTATGAGTCACCCTTGGTCACAAAATTCTTTCCAAAACATTACCATAGTAAAAAAAAGTAATAGGAAAGTACAAGAACACTGTTCTGTTTGTTGAGGTCAGAGAGGACAGAGGGTGTGACAAGGATATAATAAAGGAATAACAGAAGAACATAGAAACAAATTAGTTTTCACGAACTCTTCATCGCCTAAGAAAAAACACATTTCCAATAATAATATGTTTGTTGGTGTCAAATGCAATTTATAAATAAAGACAATTAAGAAAGCAGTGCAGTTACAGTTAAATTTAAATCATGTTAGAGACATAAAATGGGAGGAGATCGAACAATGACTATAAGTAGCACTATATGAATTTAGAGATGGGTGGGTAGTCAAAGATGTTTTGGTTGTTATTTTAAGACAGCAAGTACCATATTTAGGGAAAAAAAAAAAAGATGAGAAAACTCAACTGTGCAGAAGAAAATGAGATCATATCCAAGACATGGGATAGAAAAGGGGAAAAAATACAGTGGTTAGAGGAACAATAACAACAAGGACAAAAGGCTTTTTTACATAGCCAAAACAAAACATTATGCTGTATATGTAGCAGAGGGTTATCAAGTTGAAGAGCAGTGAATTTCATGGTGAAGCTGTTGTAAGAACCCAGCTGCCAAAAGAATGTCAAGAATACAAAGACCAAACTTCTGTGGAAAATTTCTGTTTAACAATAAATCTGTTACCCAGGCTGCATGCAAGTAGCTACAATCAAGATTACAGGGAGGCTCTAATGTTTTAGTTAAACTCAGCAAGCAAAAAAGGAAGGAAAAAGTTCAGTAGCTTGTAATAAACCTCCTGCTTTCTTCTACTCTGTGGTGAACTTGAAGGGAGAATGAAAACCATCATTCAGGTACACACTATGCTGTACCTGTTCATGCAAAGATGTTCCATCTGAACTAAGAATTCACAACCACAGGAGTAATTATCTGTCTTCAGATATTCTGAGCTGAGTCTTTCTTCCCTGTCAATGAAATCTTTCTGCTTTGTAGAAAACAAAAATGTAGTGAGACAGTTAGAATGCCTGTAATCCTGCGGTGGTCTGAATGCTTTATTATACAGCAGAAAAGATAGCTTAACTCCTTTTCTAGTTAATATTTATTTATATGAAACAAAACAAGCAATAGTAGGGCAGACATTGGTAGAGCTCGTTTCTGAGACTAGTCATAACCCTGGTGAAGCAGGCATCTTCTAAGACACAAGAAATATGGGAATCCACATCCCAAGCAGTAAACAGAACTCAAATCTTCCACACCTGGATGTTCCCCTACCAGCAAATTGCTATGTATATCCCCTTCTCTTCATTTTCTTTATCTTCAAGTTGTATAGACAGACCTCAGAAGTCCATATTAAATGGAAAAAAATGTTTTCTCAGTTCAGAAGAAAAAAATTTTTTAAATTGACTGCAATCCAAACTTTTTCTCAATATTTTTAATCTCATCTGCTGAGCCATAAAATTAAATTAAGACCACAAAAGGACCTGAAGAACTAGAATAAAAAATTAGTTAGCCAGTAGAAGGATAGGGATGATGGAAATAAGGTGGTAAAAATGAGGGAACTTTAGGCCACATAAAACAGGAAAGAAAATATGGAAAGCAGAATGTATTGTCTGCATTGAAAGACAGACATTGCAACAACTTCTCCAGAGATGAGAGAGGGAGCAGAAAGGCTGGAAAAAAGATTCTAGAGGACCTCCACTTACACAGGGTATCTGTTATATACAACACATTCGGCAGGAGATACACTCATCACCCCTAAGAAGAACTGAGTTTTCATGTTCATGGCTAGAAAATTATAGCCAGAGAGGACTATTTAGTAGGACTGGTAACTGCATTCTGCTTTAAATACAGACTTGTAAAGCCTGAAAATATTTAAGCCTCCTTGACAATTTGGGACTTTATTGTCATTACCTACTGTTCTTAGAACACAGTTGCCTGTTATTTATGTCTAAAATGACTACTGAAGGGCAAGGGGGCCTCTCTTTACTTCTGATTTTAGTTGGAGTCCAGACTTTTCTCCTGAAAAGAAATACCAGTCTGTAAAAGCTTTCCCTCTTAATTCAATTAGACAAATAGACTTTATTAGTACTAAGTTTCTAAAATGCTCATTTCATTTGAAGCAATGAAAACACACCCAAATTATTAGGTAAGAAAAACCCCACCACCAACAAACAAAACCAATAAACCAACAACAAAGAATAAAGAACAAGGTAAGGAAGAGAAATACTCGCTTTTGCCTACCTGGAGTGTTAACTTTTTGTCTTGTTTTAGTATGAAATGGAATAGTTCTACAAATGAGACTCAATTTCAGTATAGAAATCTTTGTCTCCTGAGAAATTTATTGAGGAGATGCAGTACATCATTGCATTTTTTAAATGTTAATGTCACATTACCTGAGTTTTAACAGATTAACAATGCTTTAACTCAAGAGTAATGCCACTTGACTAAAGTAATGAAGTCCATGAAGTCAAGACCAGACTCCATGGGGTTTGAGTCCAATGACCATGCTTCACTACACTAAGATAAAAGAGGACAAACAGAAACTGAAAATATTTTATGGACATTATGTTGTTTCTTATATGTCTTACAAACAGTGAAAAAAAATTTTAGATCCTAGGATATCCCTTATGCAAATCTTTTAAGACTGTTATGTGGAACACTTCAAGGATTCACACATAGAATTTAAAAATATACTGTGAACAACTTTTAGATTCTGCTGGGCCTTACAGACAAAACAAGGATTTCCTGAACATCTTGTTTTCCTAGAAACAGGATGATTTCTCTGTTAAAAGCAAAAAGCTCTTTCCAGTAACAAAGCATCCACACAGTGGACAGATTACCACTCCACCTCTGAAACTGAGGCACTTCAGGACTTGGCAGAAGGACTTAGCTGTAAAAGACACTAAATATTCAGCCAGCAATGTTTTATTTTTATATCAAATAGCTGTTGTGATGTGTCTGCAAAACAATCATGTAAGATAACTGACATCCAGTCTTAAAACTGTGAAGCAAACAAGATTTTATATTATTAGCATTTCAATATGAAAACAATATTGTTTATACACAACATAGATGCCATTCTAGAGTAAAAGCAAATGGAAATGTAGGTGAAAAGGAAGGTACTTTTCTAATAATAATAACTAAGAAACTGTACCTGGCCAATGCAGCAATATTTCCCAGGGTGTAGAACACTGCAAAAAGTTTGATCCCATTTGGGAGCCATAGCAATGCTGTTCCCTATAAGAGATAGGTTATTTGCACATCTGCAATTAGTTAATTCATTTAGTGCGAAAATATATTTGTAGGCTATACAATCTATGAAGAGCATCATTGACATACAGCAGCAAAGTACACTGTTCTTGAGTTGCAGCAATGCTCAGCATACTTCTATTGCCACCTATTGGCAAAACAATGTGTTGGTTTACTATACTCCACAATATTTTTTACAACTAGGCAATGTCTGTTTATACAGTTTAAAACATTTATTTGTACTGTTTATATTCTATTTACAACACTCAGTTTTGTTACAATGTTCCTCTGTACATCCTACACCTCTGCACACAAAGGATAACATGTCACAAACCCTACTAATGTCATGTCAAAAGATAACACGTCACTAACCCCACACTAATATTCACCATCCCCTTTCTCCTCCAATCAACCATCTGGACTTCTGGTCTAAATAGGCAGAGGCTGAACAGAAATACTGTAGAACTCTTACTTCCAGACATCTCTTATTCCCACTAAATGCACACCAAAAAAACCATCTGAAGCCTTCTGCTGATTACCTATGATGATCAGGGAGAAACAGAATCATAGAATGGTTTGGGTTCGAAGGGACCTTAAAGATCATCTAGTTCCAACCTCCCTGCCATAGGCAGGGACATCTTCCACTAGACCAGATGGCTCAGCGCCCCAGCCTGAAACACTGCCAGGGTTGGGGCATCCACCACTTCTCTGGGCAACCTGTTCCAGTGCCTCACCACCCTCACAGTAAAGAATTTCTTTCTTCTGTATATCTAACCTACGTTTTCCCTCTTTCTGTTTGAGCCCATTATTCCTTGTCCTGTCACTATAGCTCCTGATGAAGAGTGCCTCCCTGGCTTCCCTTAAGGCCCCCTTCAGATACTGCAAGGTTGCCATGAGGTCTCCATGCAACCTTCTCTTCTCCAGGCTGAACAGTCCCAACTTTCTCAGCCTGCTAGAGCCTAAGTAGAGCCTAAACTAGAAGAAAAGAAGCTGTGATGTGCACACTGTGTCCTGAAAAATATGCAAAAAAGCCACTAAATTCTACCAAATTGCAATTTCAGTGGGAATCTGTGGTGTCAGTTTGCAC